TGTGACCAGAGCGTGTACTACCGTGGCCAAGTCAGACTTCCCGAGGTACGGGCGCAGCTGGCGCACGAGCCTTAGCTGTGCAAATGCTTCCCTGGTCACCGCTGAAACCTGGGGATCCAGGCTCAACGATGAATCCAGAATCACACCCAAGCTGTGAACCTGCACCTTCAAGGGGAGTGCGACCCCATCCAGCACAGGCTGTAACCCTATACCCTGTTCGGCCTTGCGACTGACCAGGAGTACCTCTGTCTTGTCTGGATTTAATTTCAATTTGTTCGCCCTCATCCAGACCATTACAGCGGCCAGGCACCGGTTCAGGACCTCGACAGCCTCCTTAGTAGCAGGTGGAAAGGAGTGACAGAGTTGGAGTGGAAAGGAGTGACTTTTCTGCCATCTGATGAGGGGAAGGAAAGGGTGCCAGTGCATCCTCTCTGTGACGATGTGTAACTTTTATTCTCATGTTTATGTGTTGTTTAGACAGTGGTTGATAAATGGTAGGTATGAAGGAATATATTTTGTTGGAGATGGTGGCTTGGCATTAGCTGGGTTGCCATAGCAACAGGGGCGGAGCCAACTGCCTCTTCACAGGGCAGCTGTTTTGAAAAATCAGTCAGTAAGCCGGTGTGCTATAGGGAAGACTGAATCTCTGGGTGGAGATTCAGGGAATTAATTGATGACCAAAAGGGTTACAGAAAAGGACCCAGTAGTGATAGAACTACAGGGGGTTATTGATTCTGAGTTGAGAATCAAGGTTTGGCTGGGAGCCAATTCTGTTAATAAGCCTTTTAGCTTATTTGTTTTATTGGGACAGTTGTCCAGAAGAGTTACATCTGCTTATAGAAACCTCTTGAAGTCTGTGCCTGAGATTACTCATGAAACCTTATTAATGTAACCAGTCAAGATTTGTGCCTCTTGTGAAGAAACAGTTAAACATGTTATACTCCTGTTTAAAATAAACTTGTTACTGTTTTCCTTAAGCCTTGCCTGATACAGTTTCTCTCAAGGCAATCAGCCTACATAAGAAGTAAGGTCAAGCCAGGGACAGTGGGCGCTACGCTATCAAATGAATAAAGCCTTCTGTAACTAATAGTCCCTTTATAAAATAACTCCTAAGCTGATATTGATCGTTTTCCAGCTTTCCTCACACATTAGGTGGCAGTAAGCTTTTAACCACACTTCTTCACAAATTGGTGGCATTCGGTGACATTAAAACAGTCTTCTTTACACTCTCCCACCCCTTCATGTAATGAGGGAAGGAGGGAGGACGCGTGGGGCACCACAAGCTGCCCCATTTGCCTTCCTTTTCGCTGGCAATTGCTAGCACAATGACACAACCCAAAAGGGCCATGAGAAGAGATCCTTTATTTGCAGGTGGGAAGAACTTGCATCAGTAATCCCTGCTCTAAACTAATATAATGCCTTGTACAAGGAACCATCTTTTGGGGATGTCCCAAACATTTCAGAAAAAGTTCTAAATAGTAGACTTGCATGGCCCTTTTTCTCTAGTCATTGGCTTCCAATTTATTTCCAAACTATTTCAAAATTCTGTCATTTTACCTACAAAAGGTCTATGCAACTTTGGACTTTGAAATCTGGTGAAAAGTATTGCATACCAGGCATGGGCAATCTTCATCTCTCCAGGTCAGCTTACCGGCTGTCAGGCATGTAGCGGGGGGGGGGGGGCACCTTTGCAGAGGTTAGGGGGTGCAGTGAGCCTAAATCTGACCAGGAAATGGTCGGTCCATGGCAACGGAGAGATGGTCAACTCCTCCACACCGCCACCTTGCTCCCATCCCTGACAGAAAACCAAGTCCAATGTATGTCCAGCACAGTGGGTGGGGCCAGATATTTGTTGGGACAGCCCCATGGTTGCCATGGCAGACATGAAGTCCTGAGCCGCTCCTGTGAGGGTCGCCTCGGCATGGATATTGAAGTCTCCCAGCACCAAAAGCCGTTGAGACTCCAACGCCAGGCTCGAGACCACCCCCGCTAGCTCAGGTAGGGAGACTGTAGTGCAGCGAGGTGGACGGTGCACTAACAGAATCCCTATTCTGTCCCGGTCACCCACCCTCAGGTGGACGCATTCAAAATTTGTTGACTGCGGGATGGAGGCCCTGGTCAGAAGAATGGAATCTCTATAGACCACTGCAACTCCGCCTCCCCGCCCTCCGGATCTCGGTTGGTGCTGCACAGAGAAACCTGGAGGACAAAGCTGGGTTAGATTTACACCTCCAGCTTCATCCAACCAGGTCTCCGTGATGCACGC